GTAACATGCTAATCCGGTTTGGAGGGATAATTAACAGATTCTAAAGTTGCACAGTTTATGGAACGAAGTGCTGGGGACCAATTGTTTTTTGTAAAGGTCCAGGTTCGGGAAGGTAACAGCGAAGTTTGGGGGAGAGTTCCGAATAGAAAAATAATTCTGCCGGCGTTCCAGACGGCTAATCTGTACTCCCAATTTCAGATTATTGCCTCTGAGATCGGTGTTATGACTGAGTTTCAGCAAGTCACAGCATTCATAATTGGGATCACTCAGTAGTTGGTAGACATATATCAGATCGCCTCGCAGCCTTCGGTAGGGGCCACTGAAAACTTCCAGTGACTTCTGCCTTTGATGGTAGGACAGTTTTCCTAGGCCCTTGACGTTCTTTGTGTCCCTGCGTTGGGTTTCGCTATTGCTTATAAGTCGCGCTTCAGCCCAGATTGCCAAACTTGAATGGCTTATTCAACGTGAGGGCGTACGTTAGAATTGTGCTGAATGGGGAAGATGGATGGGTCGAATCTTCCGAATGCTCTCCGCAGCAACCCGACATGCTGGTTGGCTTCGTTGCAGCTGCCTCTGACTGCTTTGAATAGTAAAGGTCACTTAAAATGAGCACACCAAGGTGGCTCTTTTAGGAAGTTTTTTGCGATAAATTTGACCCAAGCCAATGCACGTAGTCGTGTCTATGGCACAATGGAGCAGGTTGACATTTTTTCGCAGTGAACGATAGGATGTTCAAAACTTCACAGATTGAAATCATGTTGAGGTCACGCTGGGGCTTTTCGTGGTCGTACGGTTATTTGACCGCTCGCCATAACTTGATATCATCCGCGAAGAATAGGAAATCGGAAGTAATTTCCCTCGTCAGAGTGTTTATGAAAATCAAGAATTGACAGGTCCTGAGCACCGAGCATTGTGGTACGCCGCACTCCATCTCAGTGGCGTCGGACAGCGACTCTCGTTCTCTCACTTCCAAGCGACGTTCGTGCAACAAATTGCCTATCCAACGCAGCAGTGGATCGCCAATGCCATAGAGTTGAAGTTTATAGAGGAGCATTTGGTGGTCTAAGCGATTAAACGCTTTTGCGAAGTCCAGGTAAATGACTTGAGCTCATGCCTTACCATCAACTGCTTCAGTCCAGCTGTTGCGCACAGTTAAGAAGTTCGTAGTGCATGAACGCTTTTGTCGGAAGCCATGTTGCTCTGGTGCTATCATCTTGTGATTTTCCAGCTACTGCATGGGTGCATCAGCGATGATAGACTCCATAACCTTGGAAAGCACAGAGAGTAGCGTTATAAGAGGGTAATTGTTTGGGTCAGTGCGGCTACCTCCCTTATGAATAGGAGTGATTATCCCATGCTTCCATATTGTTGTAATATGGTTCTCCTCCATACAGCGCTAATAGAATATAGTCAGAGGTTCCGCCAGATCACTGGCTGCTGTCTGTAAAGCCGTCGGACGAATGTTGTCGACACCAGGAGAGCTGTGGATACATAGGGACAACAGTTTCTTTGACACACTTTCAGCAGTAAAAGTAATGTTGTATAAAGCTGATGGTGGGCCAATAGAAACAGAGATAACCGTTGGGCCTGTTACTCTCTAGAACGTGTGTGAGTAATGAAATCGTAAGAGAACGGCTACCTTTATTGCTGATCGCGTGCACATGTCAGTCGTGATCATTGTTGGAATTCCGCATAGCACCTTACGAATTCCATTAACGTGCCTGTAGAAGCGTTTGCGGTTCGTGCAGAATCTTCCTTAACTCTTGCTGATGCGTCAGCTTGTACTCACGGATCAAACGCACACAGAAGTTATGCTGTGCCACATAGGCAGTCCAGGTTCCTTAAGTCGGGGAGTCCTCTCCTTGCTAAGTCCCTCAAGGACATGCATTTGCGTGTACTGCTCCTCAGAAATGACTTCCTTCTCCTTTGACAGTGGAAGGATTTCTGCTCTGACGCGCACGTTACCAGTGGGGTGGATGTCCTTATAAAATTGTCCCAGGCGATTTCTGGGGGGGGCTTTCCTTTAAGAAGGTCCAAGATACCTCAAAAACAAGCGCGGGCAACACGTTGTAGTGCGACCGTATGTACTTTATCGTCCTCTTCCTCAAAATATTCCGCATAACATAGTTAAACAGTAGAGCCACATGGTAAATGAGACCCAGGGGTGTGCTTGTAATTATTCCATCTAAGCATGAGTTCTTCATTGGTGAGCAAAAGATCAAGCATCGACGGCTTGTTAGCACTTCGAAATCTGGTGGGAGAGGTTACGTGGTTGTATAGAGGGTAGCTAGAAATTACCTCTTGTAAGCAGGTTTTGAATTGCATGCTATCGATCGCCGCTATTTCCAGATCGTGCACGTTAAAGTCGCGTGCGATGAAAATATGATTGTATGTTATGCTCAAAGCAAACTAAAGGACGTGGTTTAGTTCGGAGTCCATTTCACACGTTGAGTTTGGTGGACGGTAAATCACAGCTATAAGAATGTGTCTGCCTTTCGTCCACAAAACCAGATCGACTTGGTTGACGTAATCATTAGGAGGGGCATGCGAGCAACCTCCTACCAGTTGATTGCCAAAGTTTTTAAATTTGACAAGGCTTTCATCCCAACAGTTCACAAGCTACATAGTAGAGCCTAGTCCGGAAAAGCGCCAGACGCGTTTCGCCCTATTGGGGCTCGTCAGTGGCGCGCATTCCCTCGGACCTCTAAGGAGGATCGAACCCATGACCGCTAGAGGCAGATGCCAACTAACCAGCAGCTTAAGCCACTGAGCCATGGGGGACGTTGGCTGGGCTACATAATTTGCAAACTAGCGGTGATATTGCACCACCTATCTACCACTATCACTGACAGCGGTTAGCCTTCAAGGTGATGACGTCCTCTCACTAGACGCTATGTCTATAGCATTTGAAACTAGAGGCTTTTGATTTTATAGTTCTCATTAGTATCGCTTTTCCGGACTGGGCTCTGCTATGTAGCTTGTGAACTGTTGGGATGAAATCTTGTCATATTTACAACTTAAATCCTGCTACTTATGAGTACCATAAAATCAAAAGCCTCTCCTAGTTTCAAATGCTATAGATATAGCGGCTAATGAGAGGACGTCATCACCTTGAAGGCTAACCGCTGTCAGTGATAGTGGTAGATAGGTGGTGCAATATCACCGCTAGTTTGCAAATTATGTAACCCAGCCGACGTCCCCCATGGCTCAGTGGCTTAAGCTGCTGGTTAGTTGGCATCTGCCTCTAGCGGTCATGGGTTCGATCCTCCTTAGAGGACCGAGGGAATGCGCGCCACTGACGAGCCCCAATAGGGCGAAACGCGTCTGGCGCTTTTCCGGACTAGGCTCTACTATGTACCTTGTGAACTGTTGGGATGAAAGCCTTATCAGATTTACAACTAAAATCCTGCTACTAATGAATGCTTTCTAAATAGTCAAATCTGACAGTTGTGTGAATAGAGTGGAGAGCGTAGAATTCTAAAGTGCGTGGCGAGCGATTTTAATCCGCCAAGTCTGACGAGCGTCGATGGGCGTATCAGATTGCAAAGCGCAATAGGCTGTCCATTTTCATCATTGTTGGCCTATATGTCAATGGCATGAGGCGCAAAGAAACACCTGGTCTATTCCTACTGGCTGAAGCACATGAAGTGACACCCTGTAATGTGACTGCTATAAGGCCTCTGCCCATTTCTCTTCTATCGCGACTAACGTCCCTGTTCGCTATTAATTGCTGCTCCGAATGCTTACTGACTCACCTGGCCTGACAAAGTTTTTGTATCAAAAGCGAAACGTCGCCCAACAACTACACCAACCTATTGTTTCCAAACTTCAATGAACGCACGACTTCTCGATCAATCCCTAGTCTCTTCCAAGACACCGAAATCACTCGCATTTTCCAGCGTTCTTTCATTTACCGGTTGGACAACAACCACTCTACTTGAGTTTCTGTCCTTCCTCATGAGTCAACGAAGTTCCGCTCGTTCAATGGGACAACTCGTGACGGTACCAGTTCGTTTCATTCGACTCCAACCGCATTTCCAAAGCCATATATGGAACCTCCATATTCCTAACTCGTTCCATTGTCAAAGAGTACGATAGGTTCCTGAGCTTCTCTTTTCAAACACCACTCCACGACCGACCGGTTTCGTCCTGCCTTGGATTTGTCAGGTAGAGATAGCTTGAGTTGAGAGTGGAACCCGACAAAGTGGTTGACGGCTTTCGTCTCGATCACTAAGCCAGAGCTCCACAGCAACGTTTGGGTTTCTATGCTGAACCCAGTAACGATAATAAATATCTCTAGTGAAGTGACGACCTCGCTTCTGATGTCTTCCGGTTCGTTTTTGAACGCGAACGCCCATATCGCGAAAGTAGCAAATTTTCCAAATACCTCAATTACGCAATCTCTTGTCAGACCTGCTCACGTGAAAATCTAAGTTTAGTACTTTATTCCCTCCAAGTGACCACATCTTGACCCTCGCCCGACTTGCCAATGCGTTCCCAGACGTCATTCCGCGCCCAAACGCCCCACCCTTTCTCTTACCGTTTCACCATTGCTGCGTCGCTGTCTATTTGACTCAAGTTAGAGCAGCAATGTGACTCTTCGATTTCTTAGCGTGGTTTCGGCATCACAACCGTCGACTACATTTGCCTTGACCTTTCGTCAACTATCCAGCCTAACCCGCTCGTGTTTGAACCCATTTCAGCTAAATTACCACCCGATTCGACGTCTTTCCGTTTCGAAGTCAAGGCGAATGGTAATCACTCTAGGTATTTCAGCTGTTTCTTACCATCTCTAACTCGACTTCTCACACTTGCGTTGCAATGGGTCGTTTTATCTTAGTTGCAGCAACCGTTTCATGTTCATTTCTGTTGTTTCTCCACTATGAATGAAACAGCCGTGACAACTGAGTCAGTCCTAGTCTAAATTCTCACAACCTATTTCCTCTTATTGACTATCGGCTACAGCGTTTAATCTGTTTGTTTGTATTTATTCGAATTAGTATCTCTTCCCATCATCCTTTGGTTGGAATGGTCCCCGCCGCCAGGGAAACTTGGAACCGGCGTTTCTGCGCTGGCCCCCGCGCTGTTCAGCGTATACGATTGTGGTCGTCTGACTGACTGCCGCTCCTGCACTCTCAGCCGCTTTAATTGTACTTGGTGCCTCATGGATGACCGATGTGTTCCAGCTCACTTCGCCTCCACTCCATCTGGCTGTCCAAAAGTCAAATTTGTCCCTCCGAATATAATGCAGCAGCGCTCTAAAACAAACGCTGTGTTTTCAGGTCAGGTACGCGGTTTGTTCGATGGACCGAAATTGTGTTTGCATGCATGCTGTCAGGCTGCTTTTTATACCTTTTAATTTGTTAGCCATCTCAGCGATCCACGCTACGCTGCCTTTGTCAACTGACCCGTCAAGCCAATGTTCGAGAACTACTAATGTATTTATCATCTCCAGAAGGTTGTTCGATTAGTTTGCCTGGTGCGCTTGCTCTTTTTACTGCATTATTTGTCCTGTTTTGTATACAGTCAGTTGTATGCCAAAACAGACATCGATTCTATGGGTTTTCCTAATTGCATTCACCTATAGCGATTCAACAGGCGAAGGACCAGTGCTTACTCGGTTACTAAGTCTCCAGTGTCAATCTATTAAGTAACCACAAACGCTGTCTGCAAGTGACACTAAACAATCGTCAGTTTCCATCTGGTCTTATTTGCAACCCACCAGCGCTTCTTAACATTATTGCCACAAAAGCGGAGACATGAATCCCCAATCAGCTTCGGGTAGACAGTTCAGTACAACTCCGTCAAAAATCCATGATCCGAACACCGAAGAGCATTGGATCAACTTTTCACGGCTGACATCGCAAGAATGACAACAAATAACGACGACCAAATGTGTTGCTAACTGGAAACAGAATGGAACAAGAATTATCAACTAGATGCAAATGAAACCGAATGCAGGAACGCCGCTGACTGCGCCACTGCACCATATCTGATACGGTCTCCAATTATTGGTGTGGACCATTCCGAGGTCCCCACCTAGCCTGACCAAGTCCCTCAGTCAAATTTTCATGCGTTTATGCCAAGTCATGGACCGGCCACCTCGCGATTTCGCCCAATTCGGTGCAGCCACGATGTATAGTACCCGCCGAGGAAGTCGGTTGTCCGGCATACGGATGACATGGCCTAACCAGCGTAAGCGATTAAGATTCAGCAAACGAGTGAGACACAAGAAGGCTTGTTGCCAAAAGTCAACTGGCACACTTCATTATCGCTCACTTGGTGTTCTCACCACACGTGAGCAATACTCCGCAAGCACCCGTGGTCAAACTTGACCAAGTTTTTTAACTGTTCACCGCGAAATCCCCAGGTCTCCGATCCATACAGTAAGACCAGCCTTGCCCTAGCGTTATGTACCCAACCACATAGCCATAAGTCGCAGGTGGCATGGCAGCGTACGCGACTTCCAGTCTGCCACTGGCTCTTTTCAAAGATGGCCGAAAAGCATCAGCAGTATGTCGGCACGCAGTACCGACGCTTCGTTGCCGCGCAACCACCACCGGTCGTACGTAGGCTAAGGATACTACGAGGGTCGCCCTGCCCATACGCAGGCTCGAATCCTCGGCGCAAGCCTACGAGACAAACTCGTTACCTCTGGCCTACTGGTCGTGTTTCACTCAGGCAGCAGACATCGACTGCAAAGGTCTTCAGCGTGTATGCACGTCCAGCTTGCTGCTCTATCTGCAGTAATGTGCGCATTTTAAAGGTTGCCAGTTTAGATTGCATTCCCGATTTCAGTCGCAAAAATGTTAGACTTCGAGGAAGGCAGCTGCCTGCCGAGAACCGTGTTGTTGAGCTGACGGACGGTAAGAGAATAACTTCATCCGCAGCGGTCGGGTTGTTCACCGTTGAAGAATCAAGTAACAATGGGGGGTGCATGATACAAGGGAAAGGTAGGTAAATTGATTGCGAGGGTTTGTAAAGCTGGCGTAGTGGTATGGCGGTGGATGGTCATGAGGACGGAAGACAGTGAACCAAGTCGTGTGGTTCCATGGCTCGTCAGTGGGCTAGATACTACCCGGTTGCCTAGACCGAAGTAAGTAGCTTGTCCTAGGAGACCACAGCCCCGAGCCTTTGACCAAATGGCTTGACGTACAAGGAAGCGTGGCGATAAGGGTTTCACACCCGTTGGTAGCCGCTGACTGAACATTCAGTTCATATGCCTTTCGGATGGCGAAATGCCATATCAAAGTCGAAACCCTCCCGAAGTCAAAGGCAGAATCCGATGCTCAGATTGCTTGCCGTTATACAATGTCGAATCCGCGTAGGGGCGGGCGTCCTCGTGGTGTACTCAGCCCACGCGCAACTAGTGGTGGTCGCTCGACAGCGAAGCGCCGTTACGGCGTACAGCCAACAATGTTCATACAATGTCTCGGAGGAGAACAAGGGCAGTGACTATTTGGTGGCTTGTCACACCTTCCACGTCGCAGGGTTGCTAAGCAGACACTTGTGACATTTTTATGGGGAGAACGCTTGTTAGGCGTAAACCCACCATGTCCTGGAACACTGCCGCCAAACCATTCGTCGGAACAGGAAATGCTCGAACTGCCCAACTGGCACTACGAGGAGGTTGTTCGACAAGCAAGCCCTATCGAAGCTTACCCACCAGCGACAAGCTTTTTTAATGAACCCCTTCACATTTGTCATCAAAGCTCATCGGTTTTATTTCTTCGTGTCAAAGTCACTTTCTGATTCACGAATGGAAGTGCTTTCTGTGATGTTTCGGTTGGGATCAGTATGCTCAAAGTGTGCTTACACTTCGCAGGGTGCATGATTAGGACCCTATCGGTCTCTTCCGCAGTGTGGGAAAAGTATACCTTCCATTATCATTCCTTTTTCATTCTCCCAAAACGATGTATCGGAGCTTGTTTGTGCTGATGCACAGAAATGTACCTCATAATTGCTGTGTTAGTCATGCATCCGACTGTTTTTGCAGACTCGATTTCTTCCGAGTAACTCGTTTGTCTGAAAGACCGGCTTTTGCGACAAGGCTTTTTTGGCTCACCTGGTTGTTCAATATAACTGGTTCTTTGGCTCCCATACCGTGCACTTCTTGCTTTGCCTCGGGTTTGTCGTGAAGGCACAGCAAAGTATTGTGTACTGCTTGGTTGCGATGACGAACAACTTTTATTCTATCGACTGCACCGCAGATCCCTTACAGCTTGAGATATGTAGCTCCACAAATAATGTGTTTTCTCACATAGCCTGACGGCTGCTTTGGAGACTTTACGTCACTAACTCTTGTCAACTTCCCGTTCATTTCGACTCCATTTCATCTGCCATCTCACTCACACTATTTTGACACTGTTCTGACGTGCTTGCTCACCTTAATCGCGGTTGGTTTTCAAATTTTAATCGTTACATCTTTCTTTTTTAATACCGCACAATACAAGAGGCTCTCCACTGGACCAACCTGTTCTACAGGTATATGAGCTAGTACAACCTATAAATGTTTGAAACTTCTGTACCCGTTTGATGTGTCTACTATCTGTGAATTCCGCATCGGAAATGACACTGTTGTACTCACTACATTATTGTCATACTTAGAATTTGTCCCCTTTGCCGTCCCATATACGTCATTCTTCCTCCTTCCATATAGGCTGTTTGTTATTGCGTTGTGGGACAATCTATTCGGGAACTCGTTGTTCACTTAACCCAGCGATCCGGTCAAGCAGCTATGAGAATTTGTATTCCGTAGTCGCAGTTAGTTTACGCAATGTACTGAATTAAGCGTGTCACTGCCTTCTTCCACTCACGTCCCATCATTATCTCATCGTATTAAAGTAGCCCCCATTTCCCCTAATTCGGCCGACCTTAATCCGTGCTGATCACATTTACATGTCACCATAATGCCACATGCACTGCCATAGCCTCCCGCCAGTTAGCCGCAACTAGGGTAAACCGGCTACATTTTTTGCATATAAAGTCGATCTCTTTCAGACGGATGCCTTTTATCATCCACGACTGCACCATTCTCTTTAGATACGAAACCATCTCATTCGGAATATTAAATTTTACTGGTTCACTTTAGTAGCTCACAAGTGCGATAATCTACAGTGCTTGTCCGAAAGTTATGTCAGTGAATGCACTGTTAAGTGAATACGCGTCACAACGCGCTCGGGTTGGTTGGGATCGGTGGAGGGTGGAGTCAGTTTACAGACGCGCAATCGCTAAGTCGTATGCAACCATCCGCAAAGTAAGGACGGTCAATTTTTGAAGCGCTAAAGGACATTCCAGAAAGGGTCTACCGTGACGCCGATGCCTGGAAATCTCGCTGGAAGTGATGTATCAACACAAGTGCAGCCCATTTTGAAATCTTTCAGTGTGTTGTACTGATCAGATCAATACATGTTTTTTAATGGACTTACTGACATTACTTTTCTGACAAACCATGTAACCACCAATCTGGAAAAGCACCAGCCAATTGTTTCGCTTTATTTGGGCTCGTCAGTGGTGCGCATTCCTTCGGTCCCTTTTAGGAGACCGAACCCATGACCACTAGCAGCCTGAGCCATGGCGGTGGTCTAGTGCTTTTCCGGATTGCTGCTTAAAGTATTTGGCTTGTGAGCTTCTGGGAGGTATCGGTAAAATTTCAAATAAAAATCCTCCCAATCATAAGTAATCATAACCTGTTGCGCTTTATTGGGACAAGCCACTAAATCGTGTTAGCCATGGTGGCACAGCGGACCTAACCACTTTCTCAGGATAGTGGTATTACTCTTTCAAACCTCTCACTTGGCCCGAGGCGTACGCGTTTGCGATCTTCCAAAGAATAGAAGTATCATCCGACATTTTTCCTGGTTTTCAACGACCATTTCCTCAGACCAATTTATGATGCGTTTTAGCCAAGAATAGCCTTCCATCGGTCCAACACTGGATCTCCCTTTGCCACCCACAACCATCTGTGGATGCGGTCCATTTGCCCCGGATCTCTTCTTGTCTGATCTTGACAGAGAAAATCGGCCCTTTCGAGCTGAGCCAAGGGGTTACTGCATGTGTGGGTTACTAGACACGTCTATTAACTTATTTTCGCAACGTAACCCAATGGGTTGTGCTGAATGCAGCTAGTTTTCAAGTATAGATTTTGTGAACTGGAGCAAAATACATGTATTGTCCCTGTTCTGCCGCAGGAATTTTTCCAGCTTGCTGCGATCACGTCCATTGAAACAAAATCCGTGAATCGGCGTCATTGCGAAAAAACAACATTACTAAAACTTTCTTGGGGGATTCTGAAGACGAAAGTTTAGCATTTTAACATTTCCGCTTTTGTTTTTACGCATCAGTGTGCTAGAAATGAGGGGCAATGCTCACTTTACTAGGTATAGGTAGCCCAATTGATCTTTCCCGCCCCACGGTGTTGAAATTCCTCATTCGCAGAACACAGCCCCTATGGTCGGCTATGAAACCGGTCTCTCAAGTGATTCACCGCGTGCTATTACTCCTTGTTCGCAGTGTTTCAAATTCGCCTTCTGTCAACTGCTCTGTTTCCATCAGCCCCACATTTTCCCACGTTTTGCCTCGTTTCTGACGCTTCCCAAGCTTCTCTGAAGACACTATGCTATACCACGCCTGATGCCCTATCTTCTTTCAGTACTAAGGTTTCCTATGTCCCGACGATCTAGCTTACCTCCTCGCTAGAGGAGTGTCCTAAACTCGCATCGCACTGTGTTCGATGGAGATGCATATTGTGAATGAGTTTTGCACCTTCCCAAATGCGAATGTTTGTTTAGATAGGTTCATCTGCAATGAACATGTTTGTAGCTATGTGACTAATCCACTCTCCACTTGACTAGGTGTATCTTTGTATGCGCTCCCTTGTCTCCTCAACTTGGTCAACTTACTCGTTTCATGAGGCCTCGATCTGACCACGAATCTTTTTTATAAACACAATGCCTGTATGAGTGAGCTTCTGGTGCACACCAAGTGGCAAACCCCTCTATCCGCACAGATACTTTTTCATTGATACTTACCTTTTTCCCCATTTTCCATATCACTCACTTAAACCTATTTATTCATCATTAAAAGCTTGTCTACCACTACTGAGCACCTTCCCAATCAACTGGCTGCTATGCGTCCGTAATCCAACTTACCATCTTGATCACCGCATCTAATCACCATTTTTTTCTTGCACAGAGTGAACATTGTCCCAGCTTCCAGGTAGATGGTGAACCGACCACTTTGATGAGTGGTTCAACTCTGGTGGTGAGGCTGACCGTCTTCAACGTTCCAGTACGTCTTAATGTTACAAGTTGACCGTTAATCGGTGTTTTCCTTCGCACTGCTCCAAACTAATTTTCCCATTCTTCCCAACCTTTGGTGTATATCAGGATATGTAACGTATAGAATGAGCTGTGGTTATGCAACGCCAGTTACCCATGGTCCAGCCGTAGGAAGTAAACTAAAAGAAAGACATCAACCTCGTTACATCGGACCGACTCTTCGGTGCCACGCGACCCCCATCGGTTGCGCTTTTGCTGGGTATACCCAGAGGTCTCCCGCCTAGGCGCAGGCGTGATTGTTCGCAGTACCAGTGGCAGGCAAGTCCGGAAACGACTGGCGCTTATATATACCTCTGGTCTGGTTATCACCTGCTTCATCCCACACTTCAGCAAGTTACACTTCAGCAACATTATCCTCCTTGTTATTTGTAGACTTGAACGCGGTAATCAAACGTTGCAGTTGCCCAATTAGGTTGCCTCTATACCTATTATGCCTACTATTTTCACGACCAGCCATCAGTATAAGCCCAGGTACTCGATTGGAGCATTTATTTAGAATGGTTGTCCACTTTTGTCGTTGTGTCCACACGTCCGATGAGCTCGCATTGTCTGCACTAGCCTGCTTTTGTCTTTCCCTAACACCTTGGTCTCTTGTCGGCTGGTGTTTACTTTTAGTTGCCTTATGAGTAGAGGTTTCATAACTGTCCGTCAGTGGTTTGACAACTTTCATACTGGAACTAAAAGGAGCTTCAAACGTCTTTTGGCGAAAAGCATCTGAGTGTTTTGGTCAAGGCCGACCTTGAATGTTTAGACCAGGCTGAAGAAGCGTCAAAATGGGGCACCGAAACGTGGGCCCCCTGAAGCGTTCATCCGAAGAATTCGATCCGTCGAATTTCCAGCAGCTTAATGGCTCCTACCTATACGTCCACACGCGGTGTACGCAGTACAGGTCTGGCAACCATGGTTGAGAAGAGATCTCACCACTTTGAACTTACCTCAAATCCGGGCAACCAAGAATCTCAAAGGCTGGTATCATTCGCCGCCAGAACAAAGGCTGCGGACTATACGAGAGCCTGCGTGGGAACCTTATTTTGACTTATTAGCTTTTGATGGATCCCAACCCCAGTGCCACCATTTGCTGGATCTCAGTCACAACAGCAATCTGAGAGACCACCATCACAAGCTGGGAGAGCAGGACAGTCGTTTGGAATGCCATCGAAACTTCTTTTCTGTACGTGTTTGCCAAGGGTAAAACACCCTCCCGGAACCTTTCGTCCGTGCTCCAACGCTGGTGGGTTTCCAAACCCGAGTTGTCCGTGCACTCATTCCGCTTCACTATCTCACATGGCTGTCGGCCGGTGGCCGAGTGGTTTGCACGCCTGACTTGCAATCATAAGGTCACCAGTTCGAATCCGCGTAAAGGCGAGTGTCCTCGCGGTATACTCAACCCACGCGCGACTAGCGGTGATTGCACGGCAGCGAAGCGCTGTTACGGCGTCCAGCTAACGAACTTACATGACTCACTGTCCATGGCCAAACACGAGTAGCTGTTAGAAGCTCACCGGTCTCAGAATACGTTCCACCTTTTTCATCTCTTGCATGTGTTTAGTAGGAGATGCCACGATTTTTACAAGCGCCGCATTTGTCACGATTACTTATAAACGTACAGTGGATTTGTAGTTTTAATGCGTATTCCTCCGTGAGTCCACCGGACTGAACTTACTTTCGCTGGCAACACCATATTTTGAATCATACACCGTGACCATCCTGCGGGACTTGTCAAGCCTTAGCTTTTTTACCAGTATTAAACCATTGTTCCATCATTTGCAACGGACACAACAATGCTATTTTCTTCGTGCTTGCTTTTACCCCTTGCTGACGAGACAGTCATTTGTTCTCCAATGCTCTTTCCCTCCCATACGTTGGATCTGCGTTCAGGGGGCTCGACATTTGGTGACACCTGTCAGAACCCTTTGATCTCACAAATGCGCCGGCGTGCTTTTTGCTGGGATCGTAGCATGCGTATCTTTGCATGTCTAGGTAGCCGTCCGTATGATACATTCGCCGACTGTTGCACAGCACATTGATTGGTTATCACTACTCTTCTTTTCGTTTATATTGAGTTCATCCACTGTGATTTCCGTATATGATCGTTTCTTGGCACGCCTGTTTTGCTAACTTGCTCATCCTCCCGTTTCAACCGGACGGCGGCCGAGTGGATAAGGCATCTGGCTTTCGATCCACCAGTCGGCGTTTCGATGCTACTTAGTTACGGGCCAGCTCGCGGTATTCGTAGGCCACACACGACTGATGATTATAATTTGGCCGCGAAGCGTCTGTATGATCTACCGGGATAGGACTGTAGTGTTACATTTGTCTATCGCGATTGTTGCCTCAACAGGCTCAGTGGTTTTGGTACTTGTTACGATTTTTGTCTCCGTGATAGTGTACAGCAACTCTAAGGTTAACTCTAAGCAAATCGAATCCACTCCTACTTAGCTGGGGCTGTTATCCATTTTTCATACATTTCATATAGAGCTATTTTACGGGGCTGTGCCAGTATCATTACCATACGGCGAAACTGCCTCGTGGACGAGCCAACTAATCCTGGTAGGCGGCTTAGTGAGACCCCAACGTTAAAGCCAGCTGACATGGGCATCCAAAATTCAGCGCCAGCGAGAACCATAATTTCCCACTTTAACACATTAAACTATCCCGCACCCAGAAGACTGTGTTCGCATCATCAACTGTCAACCCGTCAATACGCGAGTGATTTGTTGTGCAATTTTGGACAATACCACTCAGCCATGTAGGTTTCTTTGCCAGAGTTACTCTGTTCAGTGTGATCGAACACGCCCAAATACTTGGCGGTATATGTTTCCCAACTCGCCTGCCACCACTGCTTTGGGCAGCTCTGAGTGTCAGAGCCCTTAGGGTTTGTCGGTAATTTACGCTGCACTATCCACATCCATTGTGAATCCGAGGTGTGTAGGACCCACACACATGTGGTTTAGAGTCACGATTGGTTCTTGCCCCGCCCAAGCTTCTTCATCGCTGACTACTCTGCGTAGCAGTCCCTCAAGGTTGTGAAATTTCCTAAGACTTAATGTGAGATGTGTGCCCGTATAGGATCGCCGCTTCTATTTGCCTGCTCTGTATAGTTCGAACTGGGGTTGTACCCAATCCGGAAACTCGCATTGCGGTGGAATTTCCAGTTTCTTCCACCTTGGAGCGACGGCGCTGCTTTTCTTCACTTACAAGTGTTATCCGTCCACTGCGTTCACTAACCGGGTTGTCTATATCGGGCAGGTGGACATTTGTCAATATTCACTCTGTTCAAACTCAACCACGTTCGAGCATACCATTGCGACTCTGCTGTGCCCACATCACGCCATATATGCAAGTTCAGCGCCTGCACTTTCTATGATCATCATCCCCATGATAGTTGAAAAGTTGGTGCCTCTTATTTGCGCTTCGCTATCATGGGACTAAAAAATATCACTAATGGTTCCACTAACAAGGAATGTGGGAAGGACGAAAAGCGGCATAATATGATGGTTGAACGCATTAAACAAGCATTCGGGATTAAAGTGCACACTGCCACATAACAACGTAACTGACAGTTTTTAGTAGGTTTTTAGTACAAATCGGTTTTTGTGGGTTTTTATTATGGCGATGTTTCGCCCTTGACGCAAGAGCTTCTTCAGGCCAGATGAATCGGTGCACAAATGACTTAGCTTTTTATGGGAAAGTAAGGTGAATATTGCAATAGATAACATGAACCATTGGATAATAGTGTTACAGGTCAAGTGGCCATTCTGGTGAAACAACAAGCATCGAGCGTTGCTCATTGATCCACGTCACTGGTCGTTCACATGTTGTGTGAAGAAAGACGGTGTTGAAGAAGCACTTCCTTGCGGCCGTCGCTAATCTTCGTCCTGCTCAACCTTGCTCTATCGTCATCTGCACATCCTTAAAAAGGATTTCGAGTGTGAGGTTTCAGTAAACATCTCATTGGCGGTTTGCCGTGGCCTGTCATATTTGTAGTTGATCATGATCTCTCAGTTTCAAATGTTATGGATGTAGCGTCTAATGAGAGGATGTCATGACCTTCGGAGGCTGGCCACTGTTATCTGTTAAGGTAGTAACCTGCGTGGCAGTGGAAGATAGGTCATGCTATATTCCAGTTAGCTTGCGAATTATGTAGCCCGGCCGAAATCCCCCATAACTCAGTGGCTTAAGCTGCTGGCTAGTTGGCATCTGCCTCTAGCGGTCATGAGTTCGACTTCCATTAGGGGGCCGATAGAATGCACACAACTGACGAGCCGTAATAAGGCTAAACACGTCTAGTGCTTTTCGGGACTAGGCTGTGCTATGTAGCTTGTGAACTATTGGAATGAAAAACCTTGAAAATTAAGATTAAAAATCTTTCTACTCATTAGAAATATGTAAATATTATCTGCGCACTATACGCGCATATTTCGAGCTGAGTGAGAGCTTACTGCAAGCTGTCACCGCCCTTCAGTATCACCAGCGATGTGAGACAAGGATGCCTGCTGTCACCTTTCCTCTTCAACTTTGCTATTGGCGAATTCCTGGTGGTTGCTTTCACAGGACACGACTTAAATGGCATGGAGCTACAATGAGAACGACTTCTTGACTTGGAGTACGCTGACGGCATTGCCTTCATTGGTGATAGCTCCCAGACGTACCAAGCTCCACTGGACAGATTAGCACTGCCTGTCAGCCGCTTCGGGCTTTGCTTTGCAACATCGAAATGCAAAGCTTTCCTCAAAGATTGGGATGAACCGCATCCTGCTCTGACCCTTGGTGGGGATCAGCTAGAAGTCGTCCAGAAATTTAACTACCTGGGAAGTTGTATCAGCGCACTTAGGATCGAAGATGAGATCACGAACCGTATAGCAAAAGCTCGAGGCAATTTTGCTAACCTTCGCCACCTATGACGCCGACGCGACATCACTCTCGCCCTGAAGGGTAGAGTGTACAATGCAGCGGTACGTCCGACCCTACTGTACGGTTTGCGAAACCTGGCCCCCTTAGATCAGCCGACATAAACAGGCCAGTTACCTTTGACCACCGGTGCCTTCGTAGTTTGTTTCAAGTCTGGTGGGAACACCACGTGACCAACGAGCTTGTTCGGCGCCTTGTTTACGGTACAGGAATAGGAAATGAACCGCTCAGCACCGACATTTCACGCACCAGGCTTCGATGGCTCGGCCACGTGTTACGCATGCCAGTCCACCGACTCCCGCGACGTGCGTTGTTTGCACGCCGCGGGTGTGGCTGGAAGAAGAGAAGAAGTGGCCAAGCAATGAGGAATAAAAGCTCTCCCTTCGAAGTTGGCCTCAGTTGGAGCTTCTCGGCTCCTTGGTTGGGGTCCAAAATACAATGAACACGTTTGGCTGGATACACTTGCTGATATGGCAAGGAGAAGACCTCAGTGGCATCCGTGTTATGTTTCCTTGTCCCTCCCCATCCATTTTAGCCTCACCCTCCTGCAACCACGATCTCGTTTTTTAACATACTGTTATTTTAGGTAAAAAAAACTTTGTTGCCTAGTAGCCTGCTGGTAGGTTTCCGGAACGATGCCCATCCGTTACTGCTAGCTCAGCTGGCTTGCAACTGTTGTCTTTTTTATATATTGCGGCACAGTAGCTGAGGTGTTTTCCACCTCTAGCTAACGTGTGTAATGCTGGCGAGTATACGTGAGTTTGTGAGTGCTTATCGGATCTGCGGTTTTCAGCTATCTGCTCTGCAGAGCAAAGACTTTCACATAGGACTCTTACAGATATCATTCTCCAAAGTCTGTCTACGCATGTACAGCAAGGTTGTTGAGCAAAGCGTTCACATCTCCGCAGATGTGGACAATAAAACCGGTGTCAGCATTTCTACTTGTCACGGCGACGTTAATGCACACGTCCAACGTTATACGTGTTTGCTTACTCCATATAAAATACGTTCACTAACCGTTGTTTGTAAGTGTATACTGGTTGAGTTCTTACATGTGTCCGTTACCGAATCGTTAAGTGAGAATCGAACCAAAAAATAAGGTTGTGGCGAATCACTGCGATCTAACAAATTATGCGGCTGAGTGGGTGTAGTCGGCTCAGTTACATGCACATGAGCCACCTCATGTGGATACCATGGACTTGTGGCCCCACCGCAGTCGCCATAGGCCCCTCTGCTACACTCGTTTGCCTGAAAGCTATCGTATCTCCTTTGTCTTGCATCATCTTCGAGGCTATTACAGAACTTATTTTCGTCGTCTCCTGGAAATATGGAATGCATATTTACTTATTTCTCTAACCTCCTCCTCGACTGCTTCTATCCCTTTTCCACTGTTAACTTTTCCCATTTTATTCTTCAATACAGCAACCACTACGACATTTTTCGTGCTTAGAAGGCTGTACCAATCAACGAGCAATTGCTGCCTACAGCCCTTCCGATTCGACAGTCCTCTGTCGTATTGACAAAGTAAGTTTTTGATCTGGCTTTTCTCCCGGCACCTTCGCGTTTGTTTTATGTTTAGGATTATCGATCACTTTTGGTGTCTCGCAGTCCTAAACACCTTAACAATCGCATCGCTTATCCTCTAATATAGGTTTACGCATCTGGATCCTGGAAATGAGCTCAAGCAGACTATTGTTGCTGTTTTCCAAGTGCATCTACTTAAAATCCTCTTCGAGTATGACTTACCTTGCTGCTTTGTGGCTAATTGAAAAGGTGCACATTTGTAGATCGCGCACTGTTCCTTGTATTTGCTGAGTCAGCGTCCACGAATGGCGCCGGATGAAAATCGCCAACCATTTAAATACCTCATCTTCCTGTTTTGTTTTGCCATTCAATGCCCACGAATTGTGAACCACACATTTGAAGTGCGGTCACCAGTATTGATTTCAAAGTGTCCATTGGTCAGCGTCGCTTCAAAGACACCCAAGTTGGTCTGTTGTGCAGTGGCTCAGACGTCTGACATTCAAACTTTTCACCTCCCTTTCGATTCTTAAGTCTGGCACCGGTTTGAGCATCCCTGCATTCCCCAAGCCAGTGTATAGCCACTTTGAGCTGCATGACAAGGAACCAGCAGAGCAAAGTACCGGTGTGCCATTGACGCCTTTCCTTATCATCACATAGCTGTACACCACCCACTAATTTTCCTGTACTCTCCAACATGCAGTTTCTTTATTTTCCATTTAACACGGTTGTCATTCAGGGTATCGTTTACAGTCTGTCAGTAGGCCTACACCGGCTAATGACACAGTCCTCCTGAGCTCACCTTCCGTTTTTGCACGTGGTTGTCTTCAACTCCATGCTCTGTGGTCATCATAATCTGTTTGTTCTTAATGTTCCGTCTTACCAGATCGACCTGGGTAGCAACTTACACTCCCTTCAGAGCAACAAGGAAATGCTAATTGTGTCTGAAACTTCTGCCGCGGTCAACTGCAGCCTGGATCTGTACTGGCACGATGACGGTGTTCACAGCGAAGACGGACATAGACTTGTGAATATAAACAACTTTCAAGGTGGGTCCCAGGTTTTTTTTTTGAATTTCTCGAAGCACGGAACCAATCTAATAGATCTTCGCTTCATATTAACGAGACTCATAGTTCTGCGTCGAATCTGTTTTAGAATGTTTCATCTGAAGCGGCTAGGTTGGAATTCATCCATAGCAGGGTATTTGCTTATGTGACGATCCTGTGTGTATGTCGGGCAACACCCGCCAGGGCGACGTCCGTCGAAGCAACAAATAGGCAGAACATACACAGACACTTACAGTAACCCTTATAGAGGCTTAATGGGCCTCGTGTGAGGCTATGTTGCATACATCACGCTTCTTCATCGCAGTTGGGCTACATCGACTTACACACAAAGTAAATCTTCCTAGTCTGAATATAAAGTATTCCACTTTATTTGATCTGCCCAGTTTTGTTACTGTTGCGTATTCATTGTCAATTTTGCTTGTATATTTTCCTTCTAATTCTATGTTGGTTGCTTTAGGTCCCCGATGCGACAACGCCTGATAGAAATGTTGACAAGGTGCCTAACTGTCTATTATACTCCACTTCGATTACTAACTCCAGGAGACTGGATCGTTGCTGGGGGGACGAGGAGCACGGTCTTCGTGGCTGGGCCAGGCTCAAATGGTGGTTTCACACATCCAGTGTAGAGCGGGCGGCGGCCCAGCCACCGCCTTGTGTACGTCTGATACACTTGGATCTCAAATTGAACAGACAAGAATGCTGCTGCTGTGCATGTTGAAGGAGTGTGGGCCGACTCTGTTGTTGAAACTTGGCTCTCATCCACATGCCTCCCGGTCTAATTCCTTCGCGTTTACGCTGGATATGGGGTGTGTGGATGGAGTTGTGTTTAGTGCAACGTAAGCCACCCATGGTCCCTGGGTAGGCGCAGGCCTCCTGTAACTGTCCCTATGCCATCGCAATGAGGCTAGACCTTAGCGTGGAGCGATGGTTTGCGTGCACCCGTGACCCATTGAGCTATGCTAACTGGCACTTTCCAAGTGCCTTCAGAATCACTCGTACCAGACAGGTCAATGGCTAGAGGTCAGACTACCTCACTCTCACAATCCAATGTTCTTTGGAGGTTGTGGAGAGGTCGATGGCCCTGTTCCTTTGGAACTTGACCAGGGGTGACAACAGGTATACGGGTTATAAGCTCACAGCTTGATTGGCGTAGAGCGCGAGCACCACGCACGGTGGGGAGGGGACACCTCCGGGTGCTCATTGGTTTGCTACCGCCCGCTCCATGCGAGGCAATACCTGGGTACATTGGTGCAAACCGCCTACCCCTACTGCTGGAAGTGATCGCAGTTGCGTAACATAATACAGCCGTAAAACACATGTATCTTGTTCTAAATTTTCAAGGGCTGCGTGTGACAGGCCTCAAGCAAATTCCATTGGGTCTCTGCAATCACACTGCCGAGCTGAACTTGCTCCCTACTGCTTTGAGGGTCAAGCTATTGAGCCCAAAGCTCTGGGTGGAGTCCCTTAACGTAACCATGTGCCCCATTGCATGGTGCGTCAGACTGTTGCATCAAAGGCTAGAGGCAAGGTACCTAGAACAAAACCCTACTCTCAGAATGGATAGCCTGAGTGACTCATCTGTCTACTCGACCACATCTACAATACTCTCTCTTCTTCTTGTTATTCTCTCCCCTCTCTACTCCCTTCTTCCCTTTTCATTGAGCCAGAGACTGCTGCTGACCTCGCATCTGCTGTCATCGTTACACGTAGCTCTCCTGTCAAACCTAGTGTTTCATTTACATTAGCTCTTGTAACCTCCGCACTCTATATCAGATCGGCCAACAGGCAGCACTAACTCCCACTCTTCATTCCCTTGGTGTTGATTTGTGCTGTGTCTCCGCAACACGCATACACCATAACAGCGTTGTGACGAATCTTCGATTAACTGATTCTGAATTTGACCACAATGGCTACACGCTTCGCGTTTCTGGCAATACTGAGTCAATGTCTTGAAGTAGTTAGCGTGTTAATATCACCCTCAGTAAACATGCCGAAAGCAATCTACTCGACTGGATGCCGTTGAACAGCCTCATGTGCGTGGTTCGACTTCGAACCTCTACTGGGGTTAACAAACAACGTCTGAAGAAAAGCTGCCTTTTCACCGCTTTCGTTTATGCCTCTACTGAATGCAGTTCAGAGGATATCAAACACGACTTCTATCAACAGCTCCCATCGCTACCACAATGATGAAGAATATTGACATCGGAATAATTGCTAGTGGCAGAAATACGCAAGTGGGTCGTCTTTCTGATACTGAGTAACACTTAGGAGGCCGCTTCGGAGTGGAGTCCTGAAACTGTGTGCCGACCACAACTACCTCGACAGCATTGCTTTCCAGCACGAACGTTCACACCGCGTCACTTGGGGCCCACCCGATTCCTCTATGATCTGAATCAAAATTGACCATATTGCCATCATCTACAGATGACGCACATCAGTCCGAGACTGTCGGTCAATTTGGAGCATGTGCCTAGATTCCAACCATGTTATAATGAGCACATGCTTGGCGCTCATTCTTCTCGCTTCAAAAAAGTGCCTATCTTCTAATCTTCTTAGCTGTAAGTGGAACTCGCAATCCGCAGTTAAACAATACGATTGACGAACTGACCCACCAGTTGTCAATGATGAATGAGGTTGCTGAGTTGAATGTTGGCTGGGATCGTCTCAAATATGTCGTGAAGAAAAATGCCTTTGACGACTACTGTGCACCGAACTAGAGACGCCGTAGCAGTGAATGGATCTGTGAGTCATTGATCAGTTTGATCGGAGAATGAAAACAAGTTCCGATGGGCACTGAGTTTCAGCGTATCCGTAGCTCTCTAGAACGGCGTCTGACAAGGCGACTTCGAATCGATCAGGAACGTTGGTGAATGGCAAGGGTCCGTGTGATGGAGAAAGCCAGTACTGTTGGGAACAGCCTAGTGCTGTTCCAACTCACCCGGAACAATGGTTCGAGAAAGCCATCAAGTATCGAGGCAATAGCTGAGAAAGATGGACAGTTGCTCCATCCTCTGCGTCGTCGACTAGACCATTAGGCGGAACATTTTGAAGAGTAGTTCAGCAGGCCTGCTGTGACAGCCGCTTGCCCATTCTCATGGGCCGACATGGCGATTAGATGTCACACCTCACACTTTGGAAGAGATTCGACATAGGCTATCCGTGTTGAAACGAAACTGGCTTTTAGACCCGACGAAGTTCTTCCATGTTCGCTGAAATACGGAGGTAAGTTCGTTTGTTGTACTGGCTTTTCTAGTTAACTCTATTTCGGACAATGAAGAGGTGGCTTCCGACCGATGACTGTCAACTGTCGTGCCTATCTTCAGAAAGAGTCAGCATACTTTGTGCTAAAATCATCGAGGCGGTAGCCTTGTTTCTATTGCCTCCAAACTTCTCACAGGTATCACTCTTCGACGACTTACTGGTCCCTGTGAGAACCGTATTAATGAAAACCTGGCTGGCTTCCGCCTTGGTCGTCTTTGTGTCGACCACACAGATACTGTTTTAAAGCGGAGACAAATACACATGACCGATTGAGGTGGCTTTTCTTCACTAGAAAGTCACCTTCCATTATGTTGTCTGCTTGTGCTTATCTATAAAAGGCTTGTCGGCTAATTGTTTTTCCATTCTGAAGTCTATCTATAGTTTCACTCGAGGCCGTGTAAGGGTCTGTGGGAAATTGTCTCCTGAGTTGCCCACGACAAGTGGGGTTCGCCAGAGTTGCCGTATATCTTCTTTCCTCTTTAACTTTGCAATCGAGAGGATCATGAATGACTCGGTTCTCACAAGTCCTACCGGAATGGAAGTTTTGCCAGGCGACAGACTGAAGAACCTGGAGTTTGAGGACGTGATAGCTGTCCTTGGGTTTGATACAGTGGCTATGTAAACACTGCTGGCTAGACTGACGCGTAGCGCTTCTTACTTCTGCATGTGCTTTGTACCTTCAAAGTGCAAAGCATTGTTGGGGAACTGAATCGACACACCTCCCTTTCTAGGTATCACCGAACAGCCACTGGAAGTGGTGGATCGGTTCACTTACCTTGGTAGCGGTATAACCTCTGCTTGTCACATCACTGAGGAAGTTACTTCGTGTGGCCTTCCGGTGACTCAACCTTTTATGGAGACGGTGGGATGTCAGCCTCTTAGTGGAAGAATGGTTGTATAACGCTGGGTTATGGCCGGTCTTGCTGTATGAATCGGAGACCTGGGGATTTTGTAGCGAAGGCATCAAACGCTCGGCTGTGTTTGACCACCGGTGCTTGTGGAGTATTGCTCACGTTTGGTGAGAACACCGGGTGGATGATACTGAGGTCCGCCAATTAGGTTTGGGCAAGAAACCTGGTACTCTCGGTTTCCCGAACAGGTAGGCACTAACTGGTTACTGGTCAGCCGAAAGATCTCTGCTCTGTTTTCATAATTGTGTTGCGTCGCGTTAGTCTCTGCATCCGTCGGTTCGTCCTGGCTGTCGCGATGTGCCGGGCGAAACCGACGATGTTCTTTCGAAAATGATTGCTTATAGGCCTCATTCTATTCGGGATGTTGGGGGCAGCTTCCTATTTGTTATTTTGTACATCTTGCATGTTTAGTCTCACTCACTGTTAACTAACCATATTCTATCGCTTACTTCTAATGATACACGATAATATAAAATTCATGGAGCCACTAGTTTTCTTCTTCTTACCTTACTTTATACAGAAAGTTGGCTTGGTAGCCTGCGCTACGAGCTCTTGAGTCCTCTGTTGACCAACAAGGCGATCTGGAGCGTGTCCGTTTCACTCGCACTATTGGGAGATCTAGAAGTGTTTACGCATTCATTTACCCGATGTAGACAATGCGTTTGAGCACAGCGAACTGTACTTGATCTAGCGAGTTTATACCTCTTTTTCAAGAAGCTACACACCACGTATGCCCGGTCATCGCTTACAAAGAGGGTCTTGTTTTGTCTACCAGTTGGACGTTGGTGCGACGCTCGAGATGTGTAAAAATTAACGGTATCGGGAACTGAAGTTCGTGACTACCAAACTGGGTTCTGTTGGTCCGTCTCGCATCCCAGCCTGGAGTCCACATTACAAGACATGGTTCGCATTAGCGTGCTATGTTCCCCCTCTACCCGTGTTATTATTCTTTGTTCTTTTGATCACCGTGGTTGTACGGCAGCGAAGCATCAGTCAGTTTGTAGCATTTTCTGATTAACTTGTGGGCAATTACTTGTTATTGCGGTTTCATTGCAAACCAACTTACTTAATTTAGCGAAGAGTTGTGTCTGCAAAACCGTCTGCTTTTACAGATATAATTTGTTTGATAGTTATTTCAACTGATCGGTCGTTAGTTGGTATCCCCGGTGTGGCTGCGCTTGATGTGCATGTTGACTAGGTGCCTACCTATTTGTTACCCACCACCTCGTACATACTGGCTTCAGCAGACAGTTGGTCGTTGCTGGAGGGGACGAGGTGCACAATCCTTGTGGCCGTGCTAGGCTCGAAGAATGGTTTCATGCACTCAGTGAGGAGCAGATTACAGTCCAGCCACCGCCTTGTGTGCACTTGATTCCCAAATACAGCGTGCTTGTGTTTGCCTGTGAAGGAGTGTGGGCCGGCTCCGTTGATGAAACGTGGTTCCCATCCACATGCCTCCCGGTCTTATTCCTTCGGGTTTACACTGGATATGGGGTGTGTGGATGGAGCTGTGGGTGGTGCAGCGCTAGCCATCCATGGTCGCTCTGTAGGCACAGGCGTCCTGTGGCTGGCCACAGTGACATGCAAATCCGTAACCTGGATGCCGCCAACCGCATGTGTTCTTGGGCACTGTGAGAGCACTTGTGAAGTGTGACTGGATTCGTGCGTTTGTTTGCTGTGTTCGCCATCGTCTGAAGGGATCGAAAGAACTCTTCGAACTGGATGACGTTTATGTAGTGGGGAAGATTCTCCGGAAGGGGAAGAGGCAGTGACTTCATTTACTGGCGAGTCACATCCGCCACTTCGCAGTGTTGTTAAACGGAACTTTATAGCTTTTTCTGGGGAGAGCGCTTGCCATGCGAAAACCCACCACCTCCTGAAATACTGTCGCCGAATTATTCTTTGGAACAGGATTAGCCCCAATAACCCAGCTGGCACTTCGTGGAGGTTGTTCGGCTAGCCACTTCAACAGGTGTATTTGTGCTTCATGCGTCACTCACAGATGAACTAATCACATATCGATTGACTCCAAGTCTAATATATGCATTCTAATGCGCGAGCCATCCCGAACAATTATACTACCCTGCCATGACAAACACGCCTCTTTCCGCCACGGCTAGTGTGTAGTAGTCAAATCTTAATGCTCCGCCAACTTCTTGAACACCGTCACCCCCACTATGGGTTTTCTATCATCTGATTTCCGAACGACATTTGAGTCGATCATTCAGCAGTTCCTGTCAGTGACGTTGCATGACATAGCTTCACTTTATCCTCGTTTTCTTCAATTTTGCGTTTACGAATGTTCTTACTTTGCTTGTGCGTCTTCTGTTAGGTACCATCGCATTTCGGTCAACAAAAGAATTTCCTTTCAACCTACGTTGTAAATATGTTCTTTGCTTTCTTTACCATGTATCCGAACCCATCACTCCGGCTGTCATGTGTCTAATCGTTTCGACCTCCATTTGAGTTCAGTTATCTCATTCCATGTACTCTTAATCACGCCAAGCCAATGCCACAGCTATAACCAGATTGCTCTTATTTCACAAGACACATTAGTTTGTTTACCGCCATGTTCCGGACCGAGAATTCACGCGGCTTGCCATACACACTTGAACTTTTTGCTCTTTTGTTTTTTCCACTTGTCATCGGCTCTCTCTTTTCCAACTGTTGATGTGTTCATTTTCTCGATGACCACATACATCTGCACACCTTGGTTAAACTGTTTTACTTCATACATTTGCTTTTCGTCTAGTTGAAGTGTACGATTGTGGATGGCTCGTGGAGTATTGTGACGTCTGTCTACGCCTGCCGGCGCGGTTCGGGTGCGGCTGGTGCATTCTTTCTGAGACGCCCGATGTGTCGCAACCAAACACAGGAATGTGTACCACACGCTCTCAGTGTGCAGCCTCATCGCATGGTGAGGAAGCGGTGGAGGTAAACTCAAGGACTTGGCTTCTATCCCACGCTATCTGCCCGGACCCACAGATACTCTCGGTAGGTACCGCTTTACAAGCTTTCCAACGTCTGCATGCACGAGAATATGTATGAGGAACCGATGTGTCACCTTCACTCACATATTCGTCACGCACATAACGAGTACAAAGTGTCCAGCTTGCATATTTAGCCCATCTGCTTTTATGTCTATGTTAAGTCAAATCCAGTCGAAGTGGCATTTGTGCACCCGGGTAGGTGCATTTTCAGCATAATGCTGATGTTTTGACGGTATGATACATTGGCCTCTAACTCGCAGCCTAATTGGCAACCTTCGATTTCCTCAAACGCAACGGGCTAATTTTGCCCATTACCAGGTCTCAGTAGCTCAATTTGCCATTTTTATCATCTGCAGAGGGCATCATGAGAATGGCTGCCTTTTACTAGCGTTCCTTGCGCCCTATTAGCACTTCCGTACATCTTCACAAAGCGGTATAACGAACCTGCGTACCCTGTTCTGGGAGTTTTAACTTTATCTTAGAGGTTGTGGCTCTTGAAAGCAATCAAAGCGCTCAAGAGATCCTCTGAGCAACATTGCTGATTTGCAAATCACCATGAAGTCCACCTCCTTGAGTTTGCTTTGATGCCAGATTTTTATTGTGAAGCGGAAATGTTGCATTGCTTCGTCCGAATCACAGGCAGTGTTCTCGAATATCCACCTGTGTATGCGTCATTCCATTGATTATCTCCGCGTGTCGAGCTTGACTAGCGATTGACCAACGGTTTGTCTCCGAAGCTCTAATCGGTCACTTGGCAACATTACATCCACACGGAACAGCCGGAAGGCTCACGTCGATCGCCTTCATATAAAAGCTGGATTCGCGTAGAATTTGGTGGTGTGCCAAGGCTCAATTCAACTTGACGCTTACGTCATAAGTTTGATCCACGAGAGTGCTTGCCCGGCCAAACACCCTTACTTGCGAATCCAAGTGAAACGCGTTGTAGCTCGCAATCACTCATATGGACGTGTCACCTTGATGAAGCCGCTGAATTGTTACGTATAGATAATAGATCTTACTAAACATCGACACCGTACATTGATAATTTCACCCTGAATAACTTGAACACCAGTGGATGTTGGATGTTGCCCGCCCGAAAATCCTGCTCTTCACGACCGGTTTCGAACTTATCTGATCTCATGTGGTAGAGATAGCATGTATCGAACTCTGGGTTATTGGGGTGTTAGTTAGAAACTCTTCTCCTTTAGTCACCCAGCCACAATGGGCGACGATTGTCACAACGATTAATCACTGACTGGAGTGGCCATTTTGAAACACTCGTTGCTGTCCAAGTAATCGATTTGACCAAGATTCATTTCAATGCGAATCGCTGTTCTCATTGAGATTGCGCATCGTAATCCATTCACACAACGGGTGCTTTAGAATGACCCCTTTCCAGTAGGCGTTCTTTCTAGACGTTTAGATGTGCCTCTTATTCGTTGAATGAAAATGGTCGGGTTTTTTAACACAGTACTCGAAAATAAGTGCAAAAATGCAAGAACAGTAATAGCATCTGGGTAGGACGACTCATGAAACCCACCGCAGAAGTAGCTGAAAATGGCTCAACAAGCAGAAATCGCCATTGTTTCCGAAAGATGTGAGAGCGATCGACTGACGTAAACCTCGGGTAAAGTTTCGCCTGTGACAGGAAGGCTCCGTCAGGTCGGGTGCTTCGGTGCGTAATCAAGGTGACCTTTTATCGAGAACGAGAGATAGTAGGGATAACAGAGACATGGCCCAAGGGGCTGTTACACACACACGTTCAGATGTCATCTCGAATGGTCTGTTCGCAATGGAAATATCACAGATTTCCCCACAGTTCACTTTCCCAATTAGGTTCTTGGTGATGACAGTGGGGGTCTCGATCTTCGCTATCCCACTTTATCCGCGCATCGAATGCTCAACCTGACCGGATTGAGATTACTCACCATGGACTTCCGAGCTCCAGCTCCTCCATTCTATTTACGCAGCTGTCAGTTTTGGTGGTTTCCGCCGCCTCTGCAATCGACCCCTCGTGTGTTGATTTCAAAATCCTTCCTCAATGATCTTGACATTTTCTAAATCGACTTCACACCCTGCATGCAGATCATACACCTCTACGACCGAGTCTCTTGACTATACTCCGTATTCATACTCGTTCCTCGACGATCGTGAGACGCACCTTTCGGGTACTAAGATTCATGTTCGTAATCCTCCCGCAGTCTCATCAATGCATATGAGTCCTATCTTTACAGTTTGTTTTATATACATTGTTGGCTTTCCTGCCTGTGGGGACGAGAACACTCAAAATGTATTATTGTTGTAGGTAGAATATGGCCCCACTGAAGGCCATCCTAATTCCCTCACTGTTCATTACTTTCCAAACTGCATCCCAGTTTCCTTCTTTGTATGGAGTTCCAACTAGTTCTATTCACTGTGTGGTTGATCATGTCTGTAGGTTTAGAATCCTTTACAATGGTGGTTCCACTTAGCGCCGCAGATAGCCAGTTTGACAGTTTACTTGTCGCCCTATTCAGTGTGACCCTCCTAGTATCCGCTTTTGTGCACTTAATCTGTGCTTGTGGGACAGCGTTCCGGATATTCTGGCGTACTCCAGGTGGTGAAATTAAGTCTTGTCACTGGAGTTCGATTCGTTTGGCAACTCATTACCTACCCCCTTTTATTATCCCAATGTATCGTCTACGTAGCAATACGGAACCAGCGAGCTGCTGAGGTTTGCTACCGCCTTCTCCTCGGAGTTTTCCGTATAAAAATTTCGCTAGTAAAGGGGTGTTGGCGATCCCATGCTCAGTCCTGGTTCCTAGGTGTACAGCTTCGACTTGAAAGCGAAGTATGACATCTTAATACTTGATACTGGTTGGAAGCAGCTAGAGGCGCGGTTCCTGTGTAGCTGGATCTAAAATCCTTCAGGCGCAAGACTTTCTATGTTAGAGAGCATTCGCGAAATTTCATATCCGTTAAATGTTTGCCCAGAAATTACTTAACTTCCGACACCGACTTTGCCTCTACTACATGTAAAAAAGGGGCACCACCAATCAAAATGTCACAGTCAAGACCATGGCAACCGAATTGATTGCCTCAAGTTTCTGTGCACATAGCACAAGTTGATAAGCCTTAATTAACAACGCCTCACTAATTGCTAGCATTATCGGGTTTTTGTTACGTAATAACACTTTGAACGCTGTCTCCGGGGTTCACGTGATGACGGGTTGTCATGAGGTGCTTGGTGATAGACGATGCAGGGCTCCGATTGATTCTCAGATACGTCCCATGTTGTTGCGTAATCACTTGTCCCAACCACTTTGGCAAGTGTTCAGCTACCCTCTGAGCTAACTGACGGTTTGTTCTGCCTATGTAAATGTCACCGCAACCGCAGGTGAACTGATAAACAACGTGAGAGGCTGAACTAACCGACGAGATGCTCTGACGTTTATGAAGAACAAGTGCTCGCGTGATATGCCTGAGTCGCAACTGGGCTGTCGTGTAGGTTCGCGTTAGGGCGGACCGGATCTTGCGTCCGATGTCATTTGCTACATGTTCCCCCTTGAACGGCAAGAACAAATAAACATTCTTCTTCTCAGACGTCAACACCGGTGTTTTCACGCTGGGAGGTCTGCTGTGTACCTGAATAAACTTCTCAGGATATCCACTAGAAATTAAGGTCTTGCGTAGAAATTCTTCTTCGGCTTGTAACGTTTCGGGGCTACAAATACGTCTAGCCCGGTAGAAGATAGTTCTCACTAACCCGCGTTTGTATGCGGTCGGGGCGAAGTTTGAAAAATGAAGGTACTGTCCAGTCCAAGTCGATTTGCGATGAACAGTGCGATGCAACGTACCTTCAGCCTGTCTCCTAATGAGTATATCCAAAAACGGCAGGCAATGATGCTGTTCCACTTCATGGGGTACCGACAGATTAGGGTGAATCGAATTTAGGATGGTCAGCAGCCGATTAAAATGTTCTCCGCTGGTGAAGACTAAAATGTCATCCACATTTCATCTGTACAATTTCGCTTCACCAATGCTCTCAGCAAGTTGTCTTTCTATCAGGCCGAGGAAGATGTCAGCTAAAACTGGTCCCAACGGGCTGCCCATAGCGACCCCGTCGATCTGTTTGTATGCGGTCCCCTCAAATTCAAACCGTATGTTCTCGGTGCACAATAGAATCATATCCTTTAAATACTCCACTGGCAGGCCAACAGACATATTTTGACTCAGGATAAAATCACATGGATTATCAACCGTCTCACGTAAAGGCACATTGGTGAATAAGGAGTCCACATCTATTGAGTACATAAGCCCTGCACTCAGTGACAATTGTTCTAGTGTCTCAGCCAGTTCAAAGGAGTCTTTCAGGCAATAGGTAGCGAGGAGTTTGCGCACTGGATCTAATAGTTTGGCCAGCCACCGCGCGACATTGTGATAAGGTGAATTGTTCATGCACATAATCGGATGTAGCGGAAATCCTGCTTTGTGTAACTTGGGTGCGCCTCGCATTCTAGGTGTCTGTGTCCCGGTCGGTTTTAAGTGCCTGTACTGTGATTCATTGGTGTAACCATGTAGCAGGAGGATCTGGAGCTTCCGTGCCACCTGCTTCTCCACCAGGATGTTGTTTTCCGGTGTATTATCTAGCTGGAACTTCCGAGTGTCTCCCAGAATGGACTCCATCTTCGAAATGTAGTCTGTCTTCTCTCTGCCTTAACGAAATGGCTGAAGGAAACCCACTGTGTTACTTTTCTGAAAAGAAGACTCCCCGCTACCGTTACGAGAGCACTTGACCGATTGTTGTCTCTGCGCCGCAAGTTAGCTGTTGAACGCGTCCGTGTGAGGTTTTTTGAGGAATGTATCCGCTCAGGTTCCTTCCCGCCGCAATTCGCCAAGACCTTGTCTAGGAACAGGTTGCCAATAAACAACACCAACCTGACCAGGATGGCGTCGGCGCATATCGACGCCTGTCTGGAACGAGAACGGAAATTTCTCGAGACGCAGAGGCGATTCGCTTGCACA